AATTTTTTTAGGTAACATTAAAAGTTTGAGCAGCCAAAGCTTGAAGCCTTGTCCTTTTGTTGCCTGCTTTTATTTTATGTTGAATCTAATATTGTCATCCCAGAGGGATGCAAGGCGGTTCCCCAATACAAATAGGCCGTTGATTGTCATAATAAGTAAAATTGAACAATGTTTTATTATCTTGATTATGGGGGGTTAAATCGGCCCATGGTGTTGACAAAAATTTTTTTTTTTGGTGTTGTATATAGTGATATATCAATAGTTTTCCATACTACAGGTTTTAGTAAAGGGGGATTTGGAATATAAGCCCAATAAGAATGTTGGGGTACCTCAGTCCCCGATGTTACGGTGAGCAAGGCACATAAAGCTAAAAACAAATTTTTAGGGTTTAAAGGCTTCCCTGCTTGAAGGACAAGCCGTTGTCCTTTTTGAGTCAATTTTTTTTATTTGTCCCCATGTAGGGAGAGGGTTTAAATTTGGTTGCCGTGAATGGCGGCGGGAATTTTTTAGTTGTAATCTGGCCATGGCGGCAATAGGGACAGGTTTATTATCTTTATCTTTTAGCTGGTTTTGAGCTCGCCTCGGAAGATATGGTTTTTTGGGGAGTTGTCTCTGGGATTGGCGAAGAGGGCCTTGAGGCGTGGATCTTGATTTATTGTCTAGGGACCCATTGTTGAATTTTATGTTTTGTGGAGATATAACCAAAACCTCTCCCCTTATAAAGCAATGTGCCCTTTTCTCATTTTGTCTCTGGGGCTGTTTTAGTCTAAATAGGCTTATTAATCACTTATGGTTGTTGTTGCTGTTTGAAATGTCTTTTAGCCCTTGTTAATATTTTACTTTGTGGTAAATTGAGAAAATTTAAAATAAACAGTATCTGATGTAGCAATGTTTTTGGACTGTTTTGCAATTTAAACAGTATTGGTATCTGAATATCTTCCTGACTCCTCCTTTTTAATTTTTTAATTTGTAATTTAAGAGTGTCATGTGCCCTTTTAACAATAGCTTGACCCTGGGGATTATATTTAATCTCTGTGATATTATGGAGATCACAAAATTATTTAAATGTTTTGTTAATATAAGCGGGTTTATTATCTGTTTTGATTTTAGAGGGAATTTTTGTAACTGTAAAAGTCTCTAATAAATGTATAATAACATTTTTAGTGGATTTTTTTTGTTGGGCAGTGGCCCATAGAAATGAAGAATAAGTATTAATAGTTATATGTATATAAGAAAGCCGGCCAAAAGAGGGCAAATGTGTAACATCTATTTGTCATAACTCATTGGGTTGAGTTCCTCTAGGATTAACATCAGAGGGAATGATTTTTAAATGTAATGGCCTATAAATAGGGCAGGCTTTTATAATTTGTTTAGCTTTTGTGAAGGGTATCTTATATTTAAAATGTAAATGTCTAGCATTAGCATGATTAAATTGATGTTTTTTAACAGGTGTAGTAAACATAACTAAAGAATATATTGTTTTATTACCTGATATTAATGGTCTAGGTAACTGAGAATGAGAACGTAAATGAGTAATGAAATAAGAATGATTTTTTTTTCTTGTCTTTTTCATTTTTACTGGTACCAGGGATCGAACTCACGACCGCCTGCTTACAAGGCAGGTGCTTATGCTGCTGAGCTAAATCCCCAGCCCCCTGGAATGATTTTTTTTTGAACATGTATTTGTAATTTTTGAAATAAAGACAGTAAGGTAGGTTTATTAGAATATAACACAGCTGAATAGATATTTGTCACTATTCTAACAGAATAGGCTGAATCAGCTATAATATTAATAGGTTGATCAGGAAAATCTAAAAACACTTGTAATATAGCAAAAAGTTTATTTTGTTGTATAGAATTAAAATTTGTCTGACGTACCCAATAGGATTTTTGAGTTTAATATGTAACTTTATTTTTAGATCTATTTGTAAATATAGTTAAAGCTTGTGGAATTGGTTGTATAGCTAATGAAGTATTAACCACAAATTGTTGACGTCTAAAAAAGTTTTATAATTTACTTTTACGAAAATGATATGAAAAGGTTTTTATGAAATCTGTTAAGGCAATTTGTAAGGTTTTAGTAATTAATAACAAATATTTTTATTGTTTTTTAGTTAACGGGATAAATATATTGTTTATATCTTTTTTTATTAAAGTTATAGAATGAGCCCTACCATTCATAATTAAAGAGGCAACCATATCAATATAAGGCATAACATTTTTAGATTGCTTAGTTTTAGCGAATACCCATTTTATTGGCATAGCATTTTGACCCAAAACTGTAGAGGGATATTGAAAAGTATTAATAATATATAAAGTTAGAGGCAATTGAGGATCAATCCTAATTAAAAAGGCATCCTTAATTTGTTGTTTTATAAATTGTAATTTTTGTTCTGTTTTTGTTGTTAATGTATGAGGGCTAGATGGGTCTGAAGAGCCCTGTAAAGTAGCAAACAAATGTTGTAATGTATGAGTAGGAATATCTAGTTTGGGACGGAGCCAATTAATGTCCCCTAGTAAACGTTGAAAATCATTTAAAGTAGATAATTTATCTCTTTGAATGGTTAGGGTAAAGGGCCAAACTCACACGCAAATCTCTCTGTACACAACCAGGTTATTTTAAACAAATGTAAATTAATTGTCATTTTAGTTTTTTTTTTTTTTTTAGCTCTTTAGCGGAGAACAGAGGCACTTAGCAGTGATTAACAGCCCTTGTTAGCTTGTTTTAGCACAGCTTTTGTAGTTTGTAGAAGGCAACAATGGTTAACATATTAATTAGGTGAGATTTTTGTAATTTTTTACAGAGGAGAGTGTTGTTTAACATATCAGTTAGGGAAAAAGGGTAAAACAAACACATTTAGTAAGCTACTTTACAGGTTTGTTATAATACACATATAACGAAGCTATTTTTTTAGAGTATAACGTTCCCCAGTCATGAGCAAAATTTTTATAATGATCTGACATCGCTAATAACAATTTTTTAGTATAATGAGCTTGAGGGCCATAAAGTGTCACGGCCTTTTTTAATTTTGCTAAATCATCTATATTAAATCCTTTCCATCTAGGGGGAAGTGCCACTCCATCCACATGTTGTGGCCTAATAATAGGGAAAGCAAAGACAGACGTTTTATCGTCTTTAGAATCCCCTGTTCCTGGCATATCGGCCAAAGCTAGTTTAGCCTTTTTTTAGTCAGGGTTAGATGGGGGAGGCGTGGAGGGACATATAGGAAGGCTCTGCTTAATGGAGAGCTGTTCCATCGCCTGTGTTAGGCGTTGTATAGCCTGTAATAGTGGGCAATCATTAGAAGTTGACATTGTTGCGGCAGCTAAAGCCGAATCAGCCGCGGCGAGTTTCACTTTCGGTTTGGACGCTTTTTCACTAGTTAAAGCGATAGCATCATTTTGGACTATAGTTTGCTCCTCCTCTGTGAGGGGTAATTTCTGAATAACTGGTTTAATTTCTTATTGGAAATTTTTTACAATATGTTTATCTTCCATAGCTTTTAATAAAGAGTACACAACCGACCAGATAGCCCAAAAACGTAAAGGAATTTTTTTATCCTGTCGCATAGCCTTCTCTATATTAGCTCTCGCCCTCCTCCATAATTTTATATCTAAAGTTTCTTCATCTGGGAACCAAGGATTATATTTTTTAATTGTATGAACAGACATATCCAAGTCAGCCGACCTGAGCGATATGCCATACATAGAAAGTAAATGTTTAAGAATTTTTAAGAAAGGAGAAGAGAAAGATTGTCCCATTTCCCCATAATAAATATATACACTCACCTCTCCTAAGCGACCGTCGGGGTCCCTGTTCGGGCGCCACTTGTTGTGAGTGTCTAGTGTACTCTGAACCCCGGGAAGAGGCACACACACACCAAATCAGGACACGGGGGGTGTAGCGCGAAGAAAAGAAACAGCAGACACGGCAATTGTAACTGTATTGTACTGTATTGTATGTCAAGTCTTTATTTTAGGGTTTTTATATAGTAAACCAGATCAACTTACAGAGCATAGACGATTATCTTGAAAAAGTATTTTTTGTGACAAGCTTTGTGACAAACTATAATGTTTATCTAAACTATCTAAGTTAAGCAAACAAGCAAAACCAGTTTTTTTAGCCCCACTAACCCAGGAGGAACTTTATTAGCCCAAGAATGTTTATAGTTTTATTTGTTTTTTAGTGTCACAATGGTGGTCGGCCACCTCCTTATGACTCTGTAAACAAAGCCAAGTCACACAGCATGGGTTTAGAGGGGGGAACATTTTCCCCGCTGGGGATTGGGCATTTTTGTCTTCTCTGTTTTGTATATTGGGGGCTATTGTTTACTGTAGGTCACAAAGGGGCCAGGGCCTCAAAGTGACTCCTCATCTTCTACATTTCAGCATTTAGAAACAAGTATACATTTTCCCACGGTAAAACAAGTATACCAAAGACCTTCGTGGTCTTTGATGAGATACCCTCATCACCCAAAAAGGTTTTCTTCTATGTATGATCAGTCCATTTTGATAATAGCATATAAAGGCCTTACATCTGTATCTTGTTTCTTTATCAAATTGTTGTGTTGTACTAAAGTATAATCTTCTGATTTCTCCATTTTTGAGAGAAAATGTTTTTAATTATCTTGTCATAATACCTGCTTCAGTGTAAAGTCTTAAATTTTAAGTAGTACTTATCAACTTCCCCCCAATTTTCCTGCCTTGAATGAGGTGTGCTATAAACATGGAGTAAATTTTGGTATCTGTTTTCCTTACCGGGGCAGTTTAAAATAAGCTTGATTTGAGTAAAAATGCATCTGGCACTTCTGAACCTAAAGCACAATGTAGACCTCAGTTTTGGGTAATAGGTACTTAAGGTTTGGCCATCAAGGAGGATACTCCTTACTTTTTCAGTAAGTTCTGGTTTGTGCTCTGTCTCCAGTCTTTCCTGTTGGGATCTGGGAAAGGGAGGGCAGAGATGTGCATCTGGCATGGTGCATGTGTGTTTGGTATTGCAGATACGTGTGACCTTCAAGGATGTGCTCGTGGACTTCACCAGGGAGGAATGGAAGCTGCTAGATGCTGCTCAGCAGATCATGTACAAAGATGTTATGTTGGAGAACTATAAGAACCTGGTTTCCTTGGGTAAGACTAACATTTGTTTTTGTAGCTGTGCTTACTATGGAACTTGGGCTCTTCATGGCTCAGCAGGTATAGATCTTGAAGCATGTATCAGAGTATGGGCATGGGGTTTAGTGATTTAGTTTATTTGGGTATAGAGCAGGGTTTTGATACTCCTGCTTCTGGGGAAAATTCGTTGAATTTTTAAAAATATGTGCTGCTTTTTGATACTCTGCATCCTCACATTGTCCACTTTCTGAGTAATCCCTGTGTTGCAAAGGGTTGGGAGGGATTGGATGTTTCCTGAAACCGCTCCTGCTCTTAACCATGGTCTTTCATTGTGAACAGGGCATCAGCTTCCTAAGCCAGATGTGATCCTGCGGCTGGAGAAAGGGGAGGAGCCCTGGCTGATGCAGAAAGGGTTTTACCACAGGACACATCCAGGTGAGACCAGATAGGAGCTACCCTGGGGAGTGGCCCACATGGACCATGATGGGCTGGCTAGAGTCTCTGGTGACAGGATTACAGCTCTTCTCATAGTTCCTTGTTTCTGACGGAGAGGTGAGCTTATCTATCTTCTGTTTCTGGGTCACCAGTCTCCTTTCTGCATTCTTGTAACATATTTGCATGCAGAGACAAATATATTTTACCTCTTTATTAAAATTGTCTTTCTGTTGATATGCTTTGCTAGCATTATTTCATCCCTGATTATTACTATGAATTTTAGCATCCTCACTGTCTCATTTATGAAGAGTACTTAAGAGAGTCAATTCTGGTGTCTTTGCTTCTCTTTCGTTTTCAGGTGTCCCTTTCCCATAGCTCAGCTCATTCCTGGAAGTTCAGCAGTGGAACTTGTACCACTTGCTCTGTTCTTTGTAAAACCGCAGTCTGCAGGTTCCTATTGGCTGAATTCTTCTATTCTAGAATTGTAACTCTCAAAAATACCTGCTTTCCCACTGTAGCTCTTCATTTAATATTTTTTCACTATTCGTATTTCTTTTTAATATTACATCCTTGAACAATGATGTTGGCAGTTTGGTAAGAGATTGTGTTTTCTGATATTTATTACTTTCCTGTCTTTGTTTTTGGTTTCTTTTTTTTTATATATTTTTTTTAAAGAGGGTAAAATTAAACCTAATAAAACAGAACAGAACATCATAAGATAACAGTGTAAGAGACAAAGATTTCAAAGCAAGACAACTGGAGATCTTCACTGTCTATCATGTTGTCTCTTGTTTTCTTCCAAATAGTTGTCCACATCTTCACATACAGTGAATTCATACAAAACAAAATAGTATAGAACTGACCAGAACAGGATGATGAAGGCATTTTAGGTCTTCAAGACCAGACAATAAGGAAGTTAACAATGGCTGCCATAATGTCTCTCATTCTCTTCGAAATAGCTGTCCATACTTTCATATATGTTGAAATTAAAGAAAACAAAACAGACTGAAATCACTCTGAACAAAGAATAATAGTATTGCTGGATTTCATATCATGATGCTGTGGAATCAGCACTGGGTTCCTTAGTGTCTCTTTTTCTTCAAAGAAACTGGTCATTTCATTGTGCATTATATTATCAATTCTCATAAACTTTTTAGAAGTTCTACACATGCATGAGTCTCTACATGTTTACCTATCCTTTCTGTATTAGAGGGAAAAACAAACCAAGACAAAACAAAACAAATTCCTAGAAAAACAGGAAATGAAAAAGACGTATAAACAACAATAGCAAAGAGGCCGGAATACTTAACAATATCAAAACATGGTGGTATGAGCATAACTAGCGTGGTTATTTTATATAATGATCTTCAAGAGTTCCTCAGATCACTATAAGATAGTATGCACAATTGTTCCAGTCCTATGAATGTTAACTATTTTGTTTCAAGAACTTACAGAATTTGTAGCGTAATCATATTACTTATCCTAAGTGTGTTTACATAATTTTGAACATTTTTTTATTTCCCTTCCTTTTTCTTTTTCCTCATTTTCCCTGAGATATTATTTTTTTCCCTTTAAGCAGATTCTTATCCTTTCACTGTAATTATTGAGTTTTTTGTATCTTACGTACTTTACCATTTCTTACACTAGGGAGACTATATGGTATTTACATATGTAAGTTTAATTTATTTCACTTATGAGTATGGTCTCGAGTTCCTTCCATTTACTTATAAATATCTGAATGTGATCATTCTTTATAGCAGAATAGCACTCCATTGTATAAAAATACCACATTTTTTTTACCCATTCCTCAGTTAGATGGGCATTTAGGTTGTTTCCAAGATCTGGCTATTACAAATTGTGCTGCTATAAACATGGGTGCACATATATCACTGTGGTATGATGTTTTCAGTTCTGGGAATATGCCCAGAAGTGGAATAGCTGGGTCAAATAGGACTTCCAAACCCAGCTTTTTGAGGAACCTCCAGACTGACCTCCACAGTGGTTGCATCAGTCTACACTCCCACAAAACGTGCAGAAGAGTTCCTTTTTCCCCGCAGCCTCTCCAGCATTTGTTATTGGTAGTTTTCTTTATCCTGGCCATTCTTTCTGGAGTAAGATGGAACTTCAGTGTTTTCTTAGTATGCATTTCTCTAATGACCAATGATGCTGAACATTTTGTCATGTATTTATTTGCCATTTGCATTTCTTTATCTGAGAACTGTGTATTCATCTCAGAAGCCCATTTTAGGGATCTGATTTTCTAAAATTCTTTATATATCCTGGACAGAAGTCCTTTGTCTGAGAGACTAAGATTTTTTCCCAATTTGTGAGTTTTCTTTTGGCTATGCTAGAGATTTCTCTTGACATGCAGAAACTCTAAATAGGACACAATCCCAGTTACTGATTCTGTATTTCACGTGCGGTTTGATTCTTGTTTATGAATTCTCAACCTGCCCCTATGTCTTCAAGATTTCTACCTAATTTGTCTTTCAAAAGATTTAATGTTTCTGTTTTAATATTCAGATCTTTGATCCATTTAGATTTTAGTTTAGTATATGGTGATAGGTATAGGTCTAGTTTTAGTTTTTGGCATATGGAGAGCCAGTTTTTCCAGCACCATTTGTTAAACAGACTATCGTTCTTCCAGTGAACATACTTGGCCCCTTTATCAAGGTAAGGTGGGTGAGTGTGTTTGTAGTTGTGGTTGTATCTCTGACTATTCCATTGATCTTCAGATCTGTTTTTATTCCAGTACCATGTTGATTTTATTACAGTAGCTTTGTAGTAAAACTTCAAGTCAGGGATTGTGATGCCTCCTGCCTTGCCTTTGTTGCTTAGAATTGCTATTCTGGCTCTTCTGGTTCCAGATGATTTTTAGGAGTGATTTCTTTAGATATGTGAGGTATGCTAGTGGTATTTTGATTAGGATTGCATTAAGTCTAGAATTTTGGAAGAATAGCCATTTTCACGTTTGTTTTTCCTATCCATGAACAAGGGATGTCTTTCCATTTTCTGCAGTCCTCTTCAATTTCTTTTTTCAGAATATTACACTTTTCCCTGAATAGATCTTTTACTTCTTTTGTTAAATTAATTCCTAAGTATTTCATTTTGTTAGATGCTATTGTAAAGGGTGTGATTTCTTGTATTTCTCTCTCAGTGGTTTTGTTGTTAGTGTATAGGAATGCTATTGATTTTTGAGTGTTGACTTTGTATCCAGCTACATTCTGAATTTATTTATTATACCTAGGAGTCTTTCAGTGGATTTTTGGGGGTCTTCTATGTAGAGTATCATGTCATCTGCAAATAATGATAATTTAACTTCTACTTTTCCTATCCTTATTCTTTTTATTTCTCTCTCTTGTCTAATAGCTCTGGTTAGTATTTCTAGCACTATATTGAATAGGAGTGGTGATAATGGACATCCTTGTCTTATTCCTGATTTTAAGATAAAAGCTTTCAGTTTTTGGCTGTTTAATATGATGCTGGCTGTTGGTTTGTCATAGATGGGTTTTATTGTATTGAGGTAAAGACCATCTATTCCAGTTTTCTGTAAGGTTTTTATCATGAATAAGTGTTGAACCTTATCAAAAGCTTTTTCTGCATCTATAGAAATGATCATGTGATTCTTATTTTTGGCTCTGTTGATACGGTGTATTACATTTATTGATTTGTGTATATTGAACCATCCCTGCATTCCTGGGATGAATCCCACTTGGTCATGGTGTGTAATCTTCTTGCTGATTTGCTACATTCTATTTGACAAAATTTTATTGAGAATTTTTGCATCTATATTTATTAGAGAGATTGGCCTGTAGTTCTTTTTGGTTGGGTCTTTCTCAGGTTTTGGCATTAGAGTAATGTTTGCTTCCAGGAATGTGTTAGGGAGAATTGTTTCCCTTTCAATTTCATTGAAGAGTTTGAGGAGTGTTGGCATTAAATCTTTGAATTTCTTGTAGAATTCTGCAGTGAATCCATCTGGACCTGGGCTTTTCTTTGTTGGTTGGGATTTAATTACATTTTCCGTTTTGTTAATTGAAATTTGGTTATTCAGCAGTTTTACATCTTCTTGACCCAGCTTTGGTAATTCATATGTTTCTATTTCTTCTGTGTTATCAAGCTTATGAGAGTAGAAGTTTTCAAAATAGGTGTTGATGATATTCTGTATTTCCACAGGGTTTGTAATGATTTCACCCTTTTCATTCCTTATTGCATGAATTTGAGTTTTTTCTTTCCATTTTAAAATAAGGTTGGCTAGAGGCCTATCAATTTTATTTATTCTTTCAAAGAACCAACTTTTTAATTCATTGATTTTTGCATTGTTTTCTTAATGTCTGTTGCATTGAATTCTGCTCTGAACTTTATAATTTCCCCCTTCTTTTAGCTTTGGGCTTGGCTTGCTCTTCTTTTTTTAGATGTTTGAGGAATAGCATCAGGTTGCTTATTTGTGTTTGTTCTGTTTTCCTGATATGGTTATTCATCACAATTGAGGACTGCTTTCATTGTATCCCACAGGTTCCAGTAAGATGTATTTGTATTTTTGTTTGCCTGCAAATGCTGTTTAATTTCTTCTTTAATTTCCTCTGTGACCCACTGATTGCTCAAGAGTGTATTATTCAATTTCCATGTGTTTGTGGGATTTTTGCAGTTTCTTTTGTCATTAATTTCTAGTTTCATGGCGCTATGATCTGATAACATGAAGGGGATAATTTCAATTGTTTTGCATTTACTTAAGCATATTCTGTGGGCTAGTATATGGTCTGTTTTAGAGAATGTTCCATGTGCTGCTGAGAAGAATGTATATTCGATGTTGTTGGTTGGAACACTCTGTATACATCTACTAAGTACATTTGTTCACAGGTGTGATTCAGTTCTCTTATTTCTGTCTGGTTGATCTGTCCCTTTGTGTCAATGGCATGTTAAGGTCTCCTGCTATAATTGTATTATTGCTTATTTGATTTTTCATTTTTGTTAATATTTGTTTTGTATAGAAGGTACTCCCA